AGTGAAACAGATTTGAAGCGGCGGACAAGGCAACAAGAGTTCATTTTATACCCCCTTATTCCAACATTTGTGTGGTTGCCATGATACCTGTACTCTTTGCACCTTTTCCTTCACTTTTCTGTTGTGTTTCCTGCTTGCCCCTAGTCTCCAATTATTTATGATACAGTCATGACCTTTCCTTCACAACTTCTACCGGACCATATGCATATCCCTTTGTCTTTCAGAGTTGCCTGCACATGTCTTCGCATCGCCTCATGCTCATGTACCCTCGAGGCTATTTGCATCGCTACGGATCTTCATTGTTATGCATAAAGCGTCTGTACATTCTTACGCCTTCCTATGTTCATTCTTCTCATTAGTACCCTTGTATCTCTTCAATTCTCGCCCGGGACCGTTGTGGCTTAATCTGCGGAGTATTTTCTGGTGTCATGCGGACTATTGTTGACTTTGCTTTGCGGAGCTTGTGGCTACTGGTGGTATTAGGCAGCTCTGAGGGTGTGCACTCATCTAGTATAGAGATCATGAAGTCGCTATGAAATAGAGAATATTAATCTATGAATTTCCGTTGCTGCTTGATGGTGTCTTGCAGTATGTCAATGTTAATCTAGCCTTGTTGATAGCGTTGTGGATAAGGCGCCCGATAACGCTTCGGGGTGCGGAGTTTAGATAGGTACCTCTTTTGGAACACTTGGCCTGTACTCGTCTTCCCCCCGTCTCGCCTGTTTCAACTATTTTCTTGCGCTATCACCAGAGCTGTGCTCACTTGCATTACGCGCTTTTTATCTGTGCTGGCTGTAAACCTAGCCTTTCAATTCACTCCCGTTCATGTCTTGATTTGTCCAATTCAAGTTGCGACTCGTGATGAACGGCTACGCATCGCACGGCCTTGACGAGGATGCATTTGGGGAGAAGTCAAGCGTCAAAGGCAGCTTGAAGACATTCGATGCATTTCGTAAGTTCTCATCATGAACCATTGACACGCTCAAATGCCGAGTTCCGCTCGACCGTGTGTTTTCGCAAACTGTCCTCGAAAGCGGCCGGGCCCAGGTTATGGTGCGGATGCTGACGATTGTCGTGGTGATTCTAGCAAAAACAAAACCTTCTTATACAGCGCCTTCTCCCCGCGGAGGACAATGGACGGTCCTGATATTGCTTGTCTGCACCTTCTTCTCGATATCCGAGTTCCGCACATGGCTCAAAGGCACCGAGAAGCAGCACTTCAGCGTTGAAAAAGGAATCTCCCATGATCTGCAACTGAACCTCGACATTGTGGTCCACATGCCCTGTGACACGCTGGATGTGAATATCCAGGACGCTTCGGGCGACCGCGTTCTTGCCGGTGAGCTGCTGAAACGTGAGCGCACGAGCTGGCAGCTGTGGATGGACAAGCGCAACTACGAGATCTACGGCGGTGCGCACGAATACCAGACGCTCAGCCAGGAGCACGCCGATCGTCTATCCGAGCAGGAGGCCGACGCGCATGTGCACCATGTTCTCGGCGAGGTGCGGAGGAATCCCAGGAAGAAGTTCGCCAAGGGTCCCAAGCTGCGGAGAGGCGATGCTGTTGACTCGTGTCGGATCTATGGCAGTCTGGAGGGGAATAAAGTCCAGGGCGATTTCCACATCACCGCGAGGGGACACGGGTACCATAACAACGCACCTCATCTGGAGCACAAGAGTAGGTTTCTCCTTTTTTCCCCTGGGTATTCACATTGAACTGACGCGCACAGCCTTCAACTTCTCCCACATGATCACCGAGCTCTCCTTCGGCCCTCACTATCCCACCCTCCTCAACCCCTCGACAAAACCATCGCCACAACCGAAGACCACTACTACAAGTACCAGTACTTCCTGTCCATCGTGCCAACCATCTACTCCAAGAGCAGCCTCGCAATCGACACCTACGCCAACGCCCCGCCCTCAAACCGCCACAGCAAAAACCTCATCTTCACCAACCAGTACGCGGCCACCAGCCAGTCCAGCGCGATCCCGGAAAACCCCTACTTCATCCCGGGCATATTCTTCAAGTACAACATCGAGCCCATCCTGCTGATGATTAGCGAGGAGCGCACCGGTTTCTTGTCCTTGCTTGTGCGGCTGGTGAATACCGTCTCCGGGGTTATGGTGACGGGTGGTTGGTTGTATCAGATGTCAGGGTGGGTTGGCGAGCTGCTCGGCAGGAGGAGGAGAAGGGGCAAGTCGGAGGGTGTTCTTACTGGGCGCCACGAGGCGGACGATTGAATCCAGTCGATGTTGCTATTCGTGCATGTGTTCAGTTGGTGCTCTGTCTTTTGCTTGTGTCGGTTTGGGGCATTTCGGTGCTGGTGTCTGTGCTCATATATTGCATCGTTGCATAACTCATGGGATATCCATTTTTTGTTAGCCTGAACTAGTATATTTCATTCATTATATTCTTTAGCGTAATCATTATTGTAATTTGGGTGTTGCTGTGCCAGTCAAAACACTGGCTGAAATTGCTTGACGAGGATCAACCGAAAGAGGAAGGTTGATAAGATGCTGGAGATTATAACGTATATCAACATCAGATCTAAATCTCGAATATCTCACCCATACCCACACCGGCACCCTCCGCGCCAGCCCGACTATCCACCAAATCCAGCCGCCAGCCCTTCCAGTCCTTGAGCTTCCCCTTGATCCCGCGGACCCACTCCACGCGCTTCCGTGCTTCTTCCTCGGCCTGCGCTCGCGCAAACTCCGCCTCGTCAAACTCATCCTCGAAGTTCTCCTCAGACAGGAGTTCCAGGCTGCCACGCGCAGCGGGCGGATGCTGCTGGGTCGACGAAGCCCGGCTGCGGTTCCCGTAGCCGCCGGTGAAGGCCGCGAGGCCGCTCGAGAGGACGGTGGAGAAGGACGAATGCTGCTGGGCCATGCTGCGGCGGCGCGCGTGGTCGGCGGACGAGCCGCCGACGAGATCCACGTCGTCGAAGGCATTGGCGGCCGGGTTGGTGTCTCCCGCCGTATAGCCTTCTTGGTCCGCAGTGGAGAGCTCGCCACGCCGTTCCTTCCAGACGCCACGACGCAGATCAAAGACCTCTCCTTCGAGGTCGCGGATGCGACGTTCCAGGCGCGATCGTTCCTCGTCTTCGAGCTCGTCGAGGGCGTCGTCGTCTGTGCCGCCGGATTCGCGCTTCCTGAGGCGCTCAAGGTCTTCTTTCAGTCGTAGGTTCTCGTTTTCGACGCTTGCGAGCCGCTTGCGTAGAACAGCTGCTTCTTTCTCGGTCTTTTCACTCTCGCGGAGGCGGGCCTGGTGGCGGGTTTCGGACTCCTTGTGTAAATTTCCCATTGCTTGGAGTTTCTTGTCTAGTGTGTCGATCTTCTTCTCTGCTTCGGACTTTTCTTGTTTCAGTTCCTCGATCTCCCGCTGCAAGTTCTTGATTAGTGTCTCCGTAGAAGTCTTGTCTACTCCTTCCTTCACTGCCTTTTCGGAGGCTCGCGTTAGGGCATTTTTTGTATCTGTAAGCTCCCGTTGAGACTTCTCGAGAGCGGATTCACTATGAGAGAGTCTCTCTTCTAAAGCAGCTATCTGAGCCTCGTGAGCACTGCTGGATGAGGATTGTTCCGAGAGCTGTGCACGAAGATTGGAAATCTCTAGTTCCATGGCCTCGATGGTAGCCGACTTGGACTCAAGCTCTTGTACGAGGTCGGCAGGAGGCGACTCTGACGGAGCTGGCACGGAGATGCTGGCATTGTTGCGGTGCGACCGATTTTGAAGGTGCGAGTTCTGCCTCTGTAAAGAGGCGATCTCTGCCTTCTGTTGGCTAGGTCAGTAACAGTCTCAACAATGCTTGCTTGGATATAGGCAAAACCACACCAATTCGTCTATCTCCGCCGCTTTCTGCTCGGCTTTCTCCAACTTATCTTTCAACTCCGCCGCATCAACGCTCGCTTCCCGAAGATCCTCGAGCTGCTCTTCCGTCTTCCGCCAGCGGCTCGTCGACTCTTCCAGCTGCTTCTCTAGTCGCTTGTTCTCCTTCTCCAGCTCCTCAATCCGCATCGACTGTTTCCGATAAACCTCGTGCACGGAGTCACCGTTACCGGTCAAAGGAGGTAAAGAGGGCGACTTCAAGGCATTCGATGGTGACGTCGAAGCACTTCCTTGAGAGACGGAGCCTTTTCGGAATGACGACGAGCGCATCTTGGACTGGATTGAAAGAGACGGTTGCCGAGTATGACCCGCGCGCGGGGTATCTAGTTTGACGTCCGGAGTCTGGGGCTCGGCATCCGGCCCTGGAGAAGGGGACGTAGGCGCCTCGGGCATGGGTTCGACTGGCGACTCAGGGCGCTTTTCCGGCTCAGCCCTGGGTTCAACTTCAGGTTCTAGTCTTGGTTCAGTCTCCGGCTCCGCTTGCTGTTCCTCCTCCTTTTGTGGTTCCTTCTCTGTTGACTCAGGCTCATCTTGCTTCACCTCTGCGGGGGCTTCTGCGGGGGCTTCTTCGGTAGGCGCGGCGGCTTCTTTCGGTGTGTCCGCTTCCTTTGGAGCTTCTGCGGTGGCAGCCTTCTTGCCGGCCTTTTTCTTCTGTTTCTGGAGCTGCGCTACCTGTTCGAAAGTGTATCAGCCGTCAGCCAGCTTCTCTCAAGGGTCGTCCGCATGTCGGTTTTCCAGGCTTACTCTTTTCTTCGCAGCAGCCAGCTTCTCGGCCTTTATGCGCTCCTCCTCGTCCGCCATCGTGTGTGATCGTCTGAGGTATTCACAGTGATGATGTGGTAGGGGAGGAATTGGAGGAGATCTTATCTAGGTGTTTGTGTACGGAACGGACAGCTTTCCCCGATCCACAAGACGTGCACGGACCACAACCATTTAAGTACTGATCGTCTACGAGTGTTCTTGACCATTATGAGCCACGATTAGACATTGTACGTTCAGATAGCGGCTAACTCAACTATATTGTTAAGCCATCGCTTGTAAGATGTATATCTTTATATTAAAATTAGCCAAGTAGTACCTCTTGGCATGTCAAGCCTTCTGGGAGATAGATTTGCCCATACTCAGTTTAAGATTGTTGAAGATCAAACAAGACTCTTTAATGTTGCCCTGATTATGCGTGGGTTGCGTTCACTTTGGATAGCACTAAGGAACAATGTAACGAGATAGAGACCAATGTACTGGTGGTACATTGAAAATATCATTATATATGGGAGTGTTTCTCATTCGTCTGTTAGAGAAGCCCGGAAAGAAGCACGGAAACACAGAGCAGAGGGGGTATCTAAACATGACAAGTAATTGTCTGCTGAATAGCGTTCGCCAGACTGTGAACTCCTCTGATAGCCATGAGCGGGCTCGGATGAAACGCAGTAAACGACACAAGAGTAGTGCGTTGGGGAAAGTAAGGGACTCGGATCTTTCATGCCCAAAGGTATCATATCTGTCCCGCCCAGAAGAGATCTGGTGGTACATTTAAAATATCATTATATATGGGAGTGTTTCTCATCATCGTCCACATAGAAAAGAACAGGGTTATTCTGACTCAGAAGAGAAGAAAAAGAGTGAGCATTGATACATATCATACAATGGGAAACGACATCAACATCACGTGACTCTATATGAAGTCCACTAGCCCCTTTTGGACGACCGACTATGACGTAGTTACTATTGACTGCACCCATCTACGGTTCTATACACCACGAAAGGAATCTCTTCTTTTAGCGTGCTACACCAAGTTGAACCATCTACGATCGCAAGGGTAAAAGACACATTGCTCATTACAAGTGTATCACATCCTGAAAGCCAATCTTCACAGACCCCATGCGGGGAAGATCAGCCTCAAAGTTATCAGTGACAAGCCCTCGAGCTACACGCATAGCAGGTCAAGCATGGATTTTCCACTCGGTACTAGACATCTCGTCGTGGGACTATTGGATGAGATGCATATGCAGGAGTGGTCATTTGGTCATGTCTCATGACAAATTGGATAAGAGCTTCAAAACATCTAGTACGACGGATGGTGATAGCCAGAGGGATGATAGTGTATGCATCTCCTATCATTATGTATACTGGATCGCCGAATCCTCATTGGTATTGAGCAAAAGATTCTTTAGATTACAAGGCCTCGCGACCGACGAAGATGGATAACTGCTTCTTATACCATGTTCAATCTCAGAATCATGTCATAATGACTACCGAATTATCGTCACTTTCATGAACCCAAGGATCTACGTAAAGATTCAAGGCTGAAGAAATTTCATTGTAATAAGATTACAGAGCGTAGCCCAACGTAAGCGTGAAAACAGCACTGCTGCAGTAATTAGAATGAACCCATGTGTGCCAGACCAGGTTTCAAGCTATGCAGTGCAGCAAAATCATTATCAAGGTTGAATCAATCTGAAGAACAAGTCTTGAAACCACTCATTACGACAAGAGGCATGTACCGCCGTTGCCGGTCACCAAACGCCCCTCACCGCAGAACATGCAGGTTTGAATGCAGAGTAAAATCAAGCCAACGCCGTAGACATAAACAAGAAAAGAAAGGAGTAAAAACAATCATGAAAATAGACAAAGAAGAGAAGAGGTCATCAAATCACTAAGTCGGAATTAGACTTCCATTTGGTCGGCAATCTCCTCGCTCATGGCGCGAACTGTTCCTTTACTACCTGATCTCGACCGGAACTCCTCGTCGCTGAGCACGTAATTGTCGTATTCATCAACAACAGGGCGTGTTGGCGGGGATGAACCTTCTTCCTCACTCTCGATCTCGAGTTTCGCGCGATTTCCAAGCCAGTAACGAGCTCGCTTGCTTGAACCCACCAGATCAGGGGTCATGTACCGGGATACATCAACATCATCAAACGTTCGCTTGCCAGTGGGCGTGGTGGGAAGTCCATCACCCTCTTCGGGTGTGTGACTGAGAATGGGGATCGCTCGAATGTAGAGGTAGCAGACACGTTTACGAAGGCGGTTGAAGAAAAAGTAGTGCAAACTCCAGATCGCACCGTCATCCGCATCTGATGGGTCTTCGTCGGGCGAGTACGAATAGTATGAGCACTCCTTCAATGACATATGTTCATCAATTGTTCTCCACATTCTGGGGCCCCAAATATGAGATGCTGCGCTGTTGTATGATCCAGATATCGTCGCCGGAGACGGGGGAGACATGTCAATTGACTCGCGAGGTCGCAGGTTAAACAGAGTTGAGTCCACGGTGTTCATAACCCTCTTCAGGCTTCTCTCGCGACGAAAATCCGAAGGGCGCAAAACGTGCGAAAAGTCATAATCGGGATGGCTTGCATTGAGCGTCGCGATCAAGTAGGCAAAAGTCCGGCGACTGGAGTGATCGCTCAGGGGGCCAAAAGGACTCGAACGCGACAGATTGAGTGAAGCAGCCGCATCGGATGCATTGGGAGGTGAAAGTGAAGCAGACAGGCGAAGTACTGATTCATATTGGGCTTCCAGTGATTGTTCAATGTTCTTGTACAGTTTCCGGTCGGCGCGAGCAGCCTTTGTCGTATACAGGTCGCATCCACCCACGATGTGGCAATCGTCCGTATCGAAGTTAAGTGAATTCGCGACGTCTTCGAGCTCGGGAAGAGGAAGATACTATTAAGATCCATATGTCAGCATAACAGAACAATTCCCGCGGTAAAGAAGTGCCTCGGCGCAATGTGGAATGCGCACCTTCATCTTTGTCAAAGAAGTGTTGTCAGAGGAGATAAGAAGCGAGGGCGACTGGGAGTATTGAGGCAAGAGCCAGATATCAATTCGTCACCTCTGGTTCACCAGAAGACAACAGAAAGAGGTTGATCCGACGCGATAGAGGATATCTGCGCGAATGATGTCGAGATAGTCGTCGTGGTGGACTGACCGCTGATCGGAGATAAGGACGGTTGCGCTGGCAGCTGAAGCCACGAATAAATAGGCCGATAGAGCGCGGCTGTGAATGTCTCAAATGATATTTGTTTGCTGAGACAACCCCTCTCAGCAGAATCAAATGGATCTGAGGATGAAACAGGGATTAAGAGGGGACTGATTGATGAACAGCGATACGGGGTGATCCAGTTGCGCGTTGGCTGAAGGGGGGAGGGCAGTCACGTGGCAACTGCGACCGGCCAGTGATATCACGCACTTACTTCACGGGTCCAAAGGAAACACTGTTGCAGACCCAGAAAATGACGAATGACTTCACATGAGCCCTTCGTTGGATAGATTGACGATCACTTCCTTTGATTCCTGGAACTGGCCAATGTAGTATTAATTAGTGCTTGAAGTCGCATAGTAGAAGACAACGCCTATGTACGTCCAAACGCCTGTCGAACTGCCCTCGAAAATCCGGATAGCGAAAACCCAAAGAAAACAGTATGAACAGGGAAACGCTCGCTTGTCAAACAGTTGCTACATGATCTTCGTAACCACATCTTCCTCAACCTGGAGGAGGAGCGACATTAGCCTAACTCAGACATGTGACGTGTTCACATCGGATAAGGCTAGGAAGACCCAACGAAAAGCAATAGATTTGGAGATGTAGTGAATAGGCGTGATGAAAATAGGTGCAATGGGAGGATGATTGGAGAAGGTCTCGGGCACATAAACGTGATCGGAGGCAGGCAAGCGGATGGAGAAGTAGAGGATGTGAGACTTTTTGCGCTCACAACCTCTACGCATTGCGTTGGGTGTGAAAAGACAAGGGATCCTTGATGTCAGGGAAAATCAACTCACCTCCATATCTTCCAGACTATCCTGTTGACTGATACACCTGAGCACATTCTTCTTGCTGCTCTCCTGCATCTCGCCCGCAAGCAGGAGTTCATCGAGGATGAAATATGCCTTTTGGAAGTTGAATATGATGTCGAGCTCGCAAACGTTGCCGTAGTACTTGTCCATCTGCTCAACATATCGATGCACGATTTCGAGGGTGATCAACTCGTTATCGGTGGAAGCGCAACCGGCGATGAAGAAGAGGGAGGCATAACGGCGGTAGACGACCTTGGTTTCTTAAGAAGGGAAACGACAAGAGTCAATTTCATCGATGCTGCAGTGTACGAAGGCAATCCCTGGAGAAAGGGAGCGTACCTTTGTACTCGAGGAAATTGCACATCCGGGTGCGACGGGACAGGACGAGCTGAGTCACATCTTTGATAATCTTGGCCTTCTCCTTCGGCGAGAGAGTCGTAAACCATTTGGCAAGACGCTGGATAGAAGCAAATTTCCATCAGTCAAGGAGCTCTGGAATCAAGTCAAGGAACTGGGTGGGCCACGAGGCATACCACTTTGCCTTGCCGCGACAACAGGATCAGGTAACTGAGAGGGGACTGTCAGTCTGAGTCATAAACAGTAGACGAACCTCTCGGCAAGAAACGCCTTACTGAATTGCCATTATGTTCTCTGCGATAGGATGAGATAGCAAAAGGAATGCCACAATTTGGTTGTGGACAACTTTAGGTTGAAGAAGGAGCTGGAGAAATTATTTGCGCGGGCCGTGTGGCCGATGGGGGAAATTATTGCCCCGCTGATATTATTCAGGAACATCTCATGTCAACCACGTTCTTTGGCCAGCTACTCCGCACATATTTGATAATTATCCTGATTGAGGTTGTCAAAGAGCAGATGGAAAGGTATTGAACAGAACTATTATCCTGGTGGCACAAATCTTGGGGGATCTGACCAGCCACCGCTGCAGTGTCGCTCTGCCATCTAAACCAGCCCCTTTGATTGCTCTCTAAGTGAGCCCAACCAGGTAGCCTTCTAGAGCTTTACGATGCTGATATTATTCAGCTCACTATGGGTATCTCAGTAGGCCTCACCAAAAGCAGAGCATACGCATGTCCTCCTCAGTTGCATATACTGGTTAATTGAATTAGGTGCACGTATCTCCTCAAGCAGTTTGTCCCTGTAGTAGACATCAAAGCCATGCTTGATGACAATTTTGCAGCGAGTGTCACAATTCGCAGTCGGAGAAGCGCAATTAATGGTTACCTACTTTCACATATAAAAATACTTCGTTTTCTTAGTTCCAAACGGCAAGAATTTGAGCAATCTTCTTGTATGATTCGGGTCGCCGCATCTGTGCCAAATATATATATTCGGCTGTAGAGTACTACCAATCCACGTTTCCGCAGGACAGTATCATCTCTCTCAGTCAAGACAACATAGGCCTTCAGATATCTCTCGGTGCACATACATGGCACTCAAATAGCTGTGTACTACTCCTTCAGACTACATACAAAGTCATCTCGTGATTCATATTGATGAACCTAAAGTTCAACGAGAGATAGGATGTTCTCATTACCACTGGAACACTGATGTTCAGCGTTCTTTCAGGAGCGATTGATGTTTGAAATGACACTATCCGACGAGCCACTACTCTCAGGCTCCTCTTAGACACCCTTGAGTTAGCTGAAGTTGAATCTTTGCTTGAAGACTATTATTCTGACAATCAGGTCCGAGATGAAAGCTCTACGAATCGCAGCTACCTCTTGTTCACGCACAACCACCACTTGATGGCTTTATCGATGTTTTCAACTGAACTAGCTTCCGAAATGGAAGAGAGTCAACCTGTCATACTGGCAGCCATCCGAATTTTTTATCGTCGGAACGTGGCCTACAAAGATGGACGATCAAGAAACTTAGATTGGGCACGTAGCCAAGGTTATTGGAGCTGTCAGTCGAACTGTCATCTTTTAACTCCACATTCTGGCTCTCGCTCAGTTTGCGGGGTTGGTCCCCGGCTTTGCATTGCGGCGTTTGCTCGGACACACCAACAAATGCCGAAGACCATTTATGTCGGATTGACATCGGATTCGAACTTTTATACTTTCATCGGATCAAGGGAAGACCTCTGCTGTCAGAGGAGGCGTATGGAGCTGGGAATATAAATGGAAGTTGTGGTTGTCTGTCGCAGAACATGGCTTCTAGGCAAGGATTGCAAGCACATACCTACACTTCTTAATAAACACATGCAAACTTATTCTACTCTACTCTCGATACGATGACGAACTTGAATCAACCTGAGGATCGTGTTGATGTGCTCATTGTCGGGGCTGGACCAGCTGGCCTCATGTTGGCAAACTGGATGAGCCGATTAGGGATCAAGACTCGCATTGTGGACAAGCGTAGCACAAAGGTTGGTCCATTCGATCTTCATACTGAAGCTTACTGATTCCTTGCGCAGGTATTCAGCGGCCAAGCAGACGGGCTTCAGTGCAGGACACTGGAGATCTTTGATTCCTTTGACTTTGCCCACCGCGCCTGGAGAGAATCGAACCACATGCTGGAGATCTGCCTCTGGAACCCCGACAAGGACGGCGTTATCCGTCGATCTGATCGTATTCCAGATACTATCCCTGGCATTAGTCGCTTCCAGCAAGTCGTGCTTCATCAAGGCCGCATTGAACGGTTCTTCCTTGACTCCATCAAAGAGCACAGCAATATCACCGTGGAAAGAGGGGTGATGCCCACTTCTTTTGAGTTCGATGCCTCAAAAGCTACCGATGTCGATGACTACCCCATCACTGTCACCTTGCGCACCTTGACAGAGGAAGAGGCCACCTCGAAGCAGCAACAGGCTACGAACGGCGCTGCTGTTAGCGATGGCTTGTTCCGAAGCAACCTCTCCCCGGATGACACAGACGACATGCTACGAGCAGCTGAGCTGGATAGCCGTGCAAATCAGACCCAGGTTGTCAAGGCGAAGTTCATGGTTGGCTGCGATGGCGCCCACTCGTGGGTCAGACGCCAACTAGGGTTCAAGCTGGAAGGAGATTCGACAGATTATATCTGGGGGGTGCTCGATATCATTCCCATCACCGATTTTCCGGACATTCGAATGCGTTGCGCGATCCATTCTGCGAGCGCGGGGTCTGTGATGGTCATTCCTCGCGAGAACAAACTCGTTCGGCTATACATCCAGTTGCAGTCAACAGTCACCGGAGGTGGTAAGGCGGATCGTTCGAAGATCACGCCCGATGTGATTCTCAAGTCGGCGCAACGCATTCTTCATCCATACAAGCTGGACTACTCGTACTGCGACTGGTGGACTGCGTATCAGATTGGTCAGCGGGTTGGAGACAAGTTTTCGCTACAAGAACGTGTGTTCTTGGCTGGCGATGCAGTGCATACACACTCACCAAAAGCCGGTCAGGGTATGAACGTAAGCATGCAGGACGGTAAGTGTCATTTCCATCCTCCGTAGTGTTGTCTGAAACCTTGCTAATGACCATTCAGCTTATAATTTGGGCTGGAAGTTGGCCCATGTGGTGAAAGGCTACTGCGACAGCGCAATCCTCAAGACATACCAATCCGAAAGGAGGCGCATCGCTCAAGACCTAATCAACTTCGACTATCGCTTTTCTCGCCTCTTCTCCGGACATCCAGCCAAGGACGTCATGGACGAGGAGGGGATCAGCATGGAAGAATTCAAGATGGCGTTCCAGAAAGGAAACATGTTTGCAAGTGGTATCGGTAAGATAATGCAGTCGTTTCTCACCATTTGAGCATCCTCGGTCTGACCACTTTAAAACAGCTGTTGACTATGGCTCTAGCCTCCTCGTTGCAAAGGCGGGAGACTCCGGCGAACAAGGCGATGGCACGGATGTTGCAAGCAAAGACAAAAGCCTTCGGATAGTCAGCAAGCAACACCTGTCAACCGGAATCTCCGTTGGCATGAGAATGCCGAGCTTCAAGGTGCTCAACCAATCCGATGCTCGGCCATGGCATCTCCAAGAACTGCTGAAGAGCAATGGCCGCTGGCGGGTGATCGTCTTTGCTGGTGACCTTACCAACCCCGAGAATTTCGGCCGCTATAGCCAGCTGGGAGAACAGCTGAGCAGCCCGACTTCGTTCCTTCGCAGATATACGCCACCTGGGCAGACTATCGACAGTGTCATCGAAGTTCTGACGGTCCATGCCGGACCCCGCACAAGCATTGAACTCTTAGACCTCCCCGAAATATTCCATCCGTATAGCGAGAAGCAAGGATGGGATTACTGGAAGGTGTTTGTGGATGATCAATCCTACCACGAGGGTCATGGAAAGGCGTACGAGAACTACGGTATCGATCCCAGACGTGGAGCGAGTGTTATTGTCCGACCCGATCAGTACGTCAGTTGGCTCGGTGAAGTGGACGACTACGAGGACATGGAACGCTTCTTCTCTGCGTTTATGAAGCCACAGTCGCAGCTGGCCCAGAAGGAGGTTCCCGTAGCTGCGGAAGCTTCCACTCTATGAGATACTGCTTTCCTTTTATTCCTCTCACCCTCTGTAACCCATCTAAATATTCTCAATAGATGTCCTGGATCTTTGCTTGATACCTTTTGTCTTATCGTCCAAATCGGATGATATCTGTGAAATATTCTCATCTCTTTGAATCCTGGAAGAATTCTCTTTGACTGGCTTGCTAGACCGGGATTCTGGATCTGTACTTGGTTACTGCATGCATCGACCCATAAAGAGGTGACAACGGGTTCGAGACTCGACCAGTGGATCATAGAACGATTAAGGGACTGGACCCATAAGGAATGAGGATACCGGAGCCCACTGTAGTTAGAATCGTGAGTGGCTCAACCGGTGGCCAGCCAGTCCACTGGTCCCATGGATCACCATGATAGGGCTATTGTAGGAGTATAAGCTCTGAGAATTGACTTCCAAAATGTTGCAGAGCTTGTGGTGACGGAATCATCATTTCATATCGGATTCAGGCGGAAGAGAGCCAGTTCTGATGCTGTAGAGCGTGAACCATTCTTGAGCAGTCATGCATACTAGGAGCTCAGTAGTTCTATCCAGTACAAGCTCCAGGTGCATATGCACTGCCGCCCAACAGCTGGCTGTAGCTTCCTTATTGCTTGACGATCATTCTCTAACTGACCCTGACCACACTTTGGTTTTACCTCGACAACCTTGATGATAAAAGTCTACATTGACTAAAACGAGAAGATCAAATCTGATTGATCCAGACCGTGACTCAACTTCCATTTACTGGTGATTTCATGACCGCGCTCCCATGCATGACGTAGCATATTTTCCATTTCCGCAACATATCGTCATTCTCGGCCTCCGGACATTCCGCACAGAATAAAATATTCTTCATCCCTAGAATCAAGCAGCGCATCAGATCTGCGTCTTTTTATCTTAATTTCCCCGTCGTGGCACCTGTCAGACTGCGTGTTCGAACCTACTTCCTTTGCGTCGTGGTGACTACCCAATATACTAGCTAGGGCAACTATACTCAATTGCGACTACAACCTCGCCAAAAGAACGAGATAAGAACTGCAAGCAGCTCAAAAACTAGTCAAAATGGCCCTTAGAGGAATCCAGCTCGGCCTGAGAGTATGGGAGGTACGTGTAGACTTCCATTTACGGCCACCACGTCTTTTGACAGAGAAATCGGACGAATAGCTAACAAGCGAGTACTGCGCAGTTCGTCTTCTCACTGCTCGTCATGGCCTTGATCGGTAACATCATCGCCATGGCGTTCGCTGGCAACCCCGCCACGATCAACTACAGCATGTTCACTGCCACATTCTCCATCGTAACGCTGTTCTACCTCGTCCCCGCCTCGATCAACCTTAGCTGGGCCATTCACCCCATCATCAT